CTGCAAACGTACCTGCACAAGCAACACCGACTCCAATGGTTCTCCCTCCGCGCTTTTGTTGTTTTCATGGTGGTTTTCATGCTATTCCCCTAAACCTCCCCCGCAGAGTTGCTGCTGAGCCGCTTGTTAAACAATTGTTAAACATTCCAAGTGCGCTGACTCCTTCACCGTGCCGTTCCCTCGTCCCCTTCACTGTGGACTGGATGAGCCTGTGACTAAGTGTGTCTGTGTGGCACAAAATTGTCCTTTTAGAAGAGTGTCGCACAAGAGTGTCAAGCAAAAGTGTCGCGCAAGCGTGTCCTAGAAGAATATCACACCAGAAGATCCTTCAAGTCTTTGAAGAATGTCAAGCAAGAGTACCAAAAAAACGTTTGGCCGTGTGTTTGTGTACGTGTGTGCATTCGGATCCGTGAGCTCCTTCTTGTTTCCCTCTACTTAAGCTTGAAGTTGAAGGTCTCTGGAGGCAAGCACAAGCTCATCCAAAACGTCTGCTAACATTCCTTTACCCGGTACAACTCCACAAGGAGGTACGTTAGAATCAAGGTACTAGCAATGCTGAAGATTCTTACTGTATCGAAACAGAGAAGGGCCAAGCCTCTATCTGACTCTGTGTTCTTCTAACTCTCAAGATGCGGCCCAGTTGCTTGCCGTTGTCTTCTTCAAAGAGCAGGCGGTTCACAAGGCCACGTTCAGTCAGGGAAGCTCTGAGCAAAAACCTATGTGCGGTTTTGTTGGACTGAAGCTGTGGAATCACTTACTGTAGTATTCTTCCTCTCTGCCCTGTTTGCTTGCTGAAAAAGGCAATTATTCCAAACTCGAGCAAATTGTATACATATGTGATCATATGTCTATACCTAGCTCTAAATAAGTCATCTCAATTGTTGCCTGTCACAGCTGCAGTCGAAGCCTCATGAACATCAATTCTCAAGCATGCCGATGCCTTTCAGTTTGATGAGCTGGCTTAGCAGCTCAACAAGCGTCTTCCGCTCTCCATTTTGATCGCCAAACTCACAGGACTTCGGATCCTCTCGAAGTAGAAATGGAAACTCATGACGATACCGAAAGGCTTCTTTGACAGATCACAAAGAGAAAACTTGCTCTGCTGCAAGCCATTCACATCTTGCTCCGCTGGCAATGGAATTGTGATGTAAAGCTCAACCAGTTCCCCAACAAGCACTTCTTCACAGGAAGTCGACATTTCCCAGTTCTTCAAGCAAAATCCTGTGAAACCCATGGAGGCATTGCCACCTGCTTGGCAAATCTCTGCCCCTCGCCGCCATGCCACTTGTCCATCATTCAGCAAAGCCACCTGCAGAACAAGTGCACTGCCCGCAGGCGCCGCACCTGGTGGCAACAGGGCAGGCCTCAGTGCACCTAGGCGAAGTGCCCCTGAGAAATTCATCGACAAATCACCACTGTCAAGGCTAACCTCGTGCGGACGATCTGTCAGTGCCCGCTGTACTTTTGCTGAGTCATAGATGTCGAATGACCAACCAGCTGGTGACTTCCACTTCCCACTCAGCGGCACCATGCTGTCCCCTGTCTTGATAAAAACGCTTGCTCCAACTGGCCTGCCAGTCAAACTGAATGAACATCTACATGTGAATAGCGGCGCATTTGGTTCGCAACACGAAGAAACTTTGGCAGAAAGAGTGCAACTCCCTAGCAAAATATCAGGGATCACCTGTCGTTTGAGCGCATACTGAACTTCAAGTTGCATATGGACGTTGTGAAAGCATTTCAAGCTTTCCTACCTGCTAACCAATTCAAGTGCCCGTGGTTTGCCTGGCAGCAAGACTTGGCCGCTTCTGTGCACAAAGAGAACGCTGCCACCTCACAAAGCAAACTACTACAGAAGTCCCTCTCTCAATGGGTTTAAACTGTCGAGCCAAATTTTTCCTGGAAGGCCTTTCATGTTTTCTTATGTTTTCTTTGCGAGTGGGAACCTCCTTACCTTGCGCAGAACCTCTTCCGGACTCCCGAAAACAGCTGGAACTTTGTTATTGAAGATCCTGGAACCTGTCTGGATTCTAATCCCCGGCCAAGCCCGCATATCGTTGGCTCAAGACGCGAAAAGAGAATTGGCGGATTCCGCTATTGGGAGGGATGTCGCGTGCCCACATTCTGGCTGTGGCCATGCACTGACTGACTTTGCCAAGAAGAGCTCAACCTGTATGTATATTCTAGTCTCTGCCACTTTTATCACTTTCAGGTTTACCTCTTTATAGACTTTTGAAGCGGTGCTTCTTTGGTGGCTCTATCTCGCCCTTCTGTTCACTCTCCCTTTCTTGCAGAAATTCGTAGACTACACACGACACACTCACACACAAAAGTTGTCGTTGTATTTGGATTCTTCATTCGCTCATGAGAGAGGGAACAGATCGAAGACCGCGAAAGTTGTGGCCACACTCTGGCTGGTGAAGCGTTGATAACCGTCAACAGGTGCATGCGATGGCCTCCAACCTAATAGGAATGGCCTCCAACCTAGCCTAATAGCGATGGCCTCCCCCTAAGAGCGATGGCCTCCAACCTGGCACCAATGGCCTCCAACCTAGTAGCGATGGGTTATACAGTGCCTCAGAAAGTCGTCTCAAAAAGGAATGGAATAGATCTGGGTGTGTATGGTACACTGCCTGGCCGTAGGACGAAACTATCTACAATAGAATATAGGAAAAACCACAGCCAAAGAACGCATGACTGACTGTAAACACAACAGTTGGTGCTTGTCGCTGTGAATGTCATGCGCTAGTGGGGACAACCATTTGTTCAGCATAGGTCTGTGCACCTGCATAGAGTATGGAGGGCAAAAGAGCAATCTTGACCAAGCTATGGAGGAGACATTTCAGTCGACCTACTCCAGATGCATCTGTCAGATAGTTGGAACACCAAACATGGGCAAGGATGAAGGACACCTTCGGTATCCTTCAGTTTCGCAATGATGAAAAAACATGAAGCCAAAAAACAGACCTTTTGACGTGCGCTTTGCAACATTCCAAGCTCATCCACTTAACCTGTTTGTGCTTCACAGCAATTGGCCTGTCCGGTGACGTCCATCCACTTCGCCATGCCAAGCCTCACAAATCCACTTGAAGCTGGCACGAATACTGTGGGGAAAAAGGAAGGTAGGCCTAAGGGCCTAAGGGCCAAGGCACCTTGAAAAGGTCTGGTGGAGGAGGCCACAGAGTTCCCTTCTGCTTGGGAGATGCCCACGGACTCTCTTTCTTAGAGAGCGGTGTGTTCTTGGCTTGGAGCGCGGAATGCGTTCATGCCACCGAAGCTTTGCTCATCGCTGTGAGAGAAAATAAGGCCTCCTTTAATGAAAAGGTGTATTATTATAGGGTCCCTTACCTTCAATTTGTTCCTCTCTTTCTTCCTCAACGTTCACCCAACGAGCAGGCATGCTATGATCATCTATGATCCCTGCCTCCACTTTTCTCCACCTGGAGAAGAAAGAGTAGACGACACTAGCTATTTATCTACATATTTATTTAGTTATGCATGTGTGTGCGTTTTCGGTCGAGCAGTGCCTCCCAGATCTCAGGGTCCACCAAGAAAAGCAACTGGTGTTGGTAGACCCCCTGCAAGGAAGATGCAACGCTTGAGTTCACACAAAGACAAGCTACAAGCCCAGACAAGCCAATCAGGACCTGGTTCCACAGCTCATCCAGAACAAAGTTCATATGTTTGAAGACATTGCCTCAAAGACTTGCCGGTGGCAAACAAGCTTGCAGATCCCAACACAGCCCCACTCAAATCTTGCGCACTAGTCCATTGGTTCATTCCTAGTAGCGTCCCTGCTCCAAGTATCTAAATCCCACCTTGCGCTCATGTTCCTGTCTATTCTTCAGGCACTTGAGTACATCTGTATTTGTACAGCTCTACACAAGGGTTTCAAACATGTCTTGAAAAAGAGTTGCAGCCATTTTGAACGTAGTTCACATCGGGAAGCCGTGCATCTAGAAAGTCAAGAAGCGACGCAGAGGCTTATGAACCCAAGCAAAAAAGCAAATAGAACTAGGGAGAGCGAAACAAGGAAGCGAAGAGAAGAGCGAAAGCAATATGCTTACAAAAAGAATACAGTAGTTTATGCAGGAGTGTTCAAAATGAGATCTTCCCCTTGTTTCAATAAAAGGTTCTCTTCCTGGGCACTAACAGGATCCGTAGGGCAAAATGGCTTGAGCAGGACTCCCATCAACAACACTTACCACTGCTACTTCTACTGCATTCGCAGTACTGCGTTGTGTGGCGGCAGGCGGCAGCAGCAGCAGCAGCAACAACAACAACAACAACCACAGCCAGCTGTCCATGTCATCACTAGCATTGAGCACCAAACGGCTCATGCAAGGTGACAAAAACCTGTGTGAAGCAAAACATGAAGAAGTCTGAGCTCGCTAAAGAAAGTCCGCGACCAAGAGGCCATCGCACCTTCCCATCTTTCCAAGGTCCATGTCCTTCACATGTGCACGACAACATCAATGCATGCACATAAATGTCATGAATGTTGCTTGGAGGAATTGAATTGAGCATTGCCACAAGCAAAGGATTGGCCAAAAACAAACGATGGGGCAGCATGGCATGCAGCTTTCATAGTCTAAAGCTAGCTAGCTAGCTCATCAAATCTTACCAAGGCCATGTGTTACCAATTATTACCTTGATCCACGTGACAGGATGTACGAGGTATATAACAAGTGGATAGTTCTTGCTGTTGATGAGCTGTGGCTGAGTCTTCAGTATGCGTTTCTTGGTTCCCTCATGGTTCCTTCTTAGTTTTTGGATCACACTTTCAAGCAGACCACACGGGACGCTTCTCTGCCAAATTTGTCAGATTGGTCCCATGTCCTTCACTTGTGGGGGCAGGAGAACGAGCAAGAATTGTAACAAATGAAGGAAAAATTTATACCGGCATAGACCCCAGATAGCACTTCAAGAAAAGTTGGACACCATGGCGGGAGACATCCCACTCAAAGCCGGGAAAAGGATGGAAAAGGTAAACAAAACCTAAATCATCTTATAACAGCATCCGCGTCAAAGGCAGGCAAGCAGCGGCAGCCAAGAGCGAAATCAGGAACAAAGACAAGCTTGGGAAACACGGCGGCAGCGGCAGCCAAGAGCGAAATCATGAAGGGAGACAAGCTTGGGAGACAAGGCGGCAGCGGCAGCCAAAAGCGAAATCATGAAGGGAGACAAGCTTGGGAGACAAGGCAGCAGCGGCAGCCAAGAGCGAAATCAGGAATGGAGACAAGCTTGGGAAACAAGGCGGCAGCGGCAGCCAAGAG